TTTATTCATCACCTTATCATTAGTTACTCCTGGGGGAGTTCTGCACCACTGCACAATGCAGAATTTTGCAGAAATGAACATTGAGTGTGCAGAATTTCCTTTCCCCCACAGAAATGGGCTGCAGTGCTGCTAGCTGCCAGTAGGGGCCACTTGACCCGGCAGAGCCCAGCTCACACATAGAAGACACTGCTGTGGGGAGGGAGGTAGACGGTTCCTGGCAGCTGTAGTTCCCAGCATGCCCTGAGGGAAGAAGATGGCAGTACGCAGGAAACTGCAAGCCTGGGACCAAGCATCAGGCTGTTTCTCCCTCTGGATCCCTGGGCTCTGGGGTGGGAGAAAGGGGACAGGTGTCTGGGCTGGGAGGGCCGTGGCTGGGCTCTGGTGGGGGGGTTGCGGGTATCTGGGCAAGGGGGGGAGGGTAGCTGGGGCGGGGGGGGGGCACCGAGGCTGGGCTTTGAGGTGGAGGGAGTGCGGGTATCTGGGCTAGGGGGGCCCTGCAGTTGGGCTCTTAGGGGGAGGGGTTGTGGGTATCTGACCCCCTGGCTCGGCTCTGGGAGGGGTGGGGAGAAGAGAAACAGGAACTGAGTTGTCATGAGGGTTTCTTTAACTCTCTCTACTCCTGGGTGGATTTTTGTGTGTGTCTGTATTGTTACAGATATACTTGCTGACAGGTATGTTGAAATAAATTACCAAAATAATTGAAACTGGTGTTATTATGTAGTCTTACTTTGACAAAATTTGCAGAGTTTTTAATTTTTTGGCGCAGAAGGCCCCCAGGAGTAATTAATACACCCACACAGGCATTAGCAAATATTAACAGCCATAAGAACACTAACCATGATTTATACTATGAGTAAAGCTACATTTTAGTCATGGGTATTTTTAGTAAAAGTCATGGACAGGTCACGGGCCAGGAATTTTTTGTTTAATGCCCATGACCTGTCCATGACTTTTACTAAAAATACCCATGACTAAAATGTAGCCTATTTTTAGTAAAAGTCATGGACAGGTCACAGTCAGTAAACAAAAAATTCATGGCCCGTGACCTGTCCATGACTTCTACTCAAAATACCTGTGACGAAAACTTGGGTGGGGGGCCATGGGCGCTCTGGGGAGGGGATGGTTTGGGAGGGGGCACTGGTGCTGGGGGAGGGGGAGATGGGGCACGGCACGGGACTCGTGCTGGGGTGGGGAGGGTTGGCAGGGGCTCCCTTTCCAGCGCCGTGTTCCTTCAACTCCTAAGCGGCGGAGGGGCACAAGTGCCGGCTGCCGCAGCTCCCATTCACCAGGAACCGCAGCCAATGGGAGGGGACGGGCCTGCGGACACCGGCAGCACACAGCGCAGAGCCACCCCCACCCCACCCCCGGCCCCTCCGCTGCCTAGGAGCTGCAGGGACATGCCAGTGGGAGCCCCCCCACCCCAAGGTAAGCAGCGCCCCCTGCACCCTCCAACCCCCTGTGCCTAGTTTTGAGCCCCCTCCCACACACACAAACTGCTGCTGCTGGCCCAGGGGCTGCCTGAGCCAGCACCAGCCGTTGCAGAAGTCATGGAAAGTCACGGAATCCGTGACCTCTGTGACACTCTCAGCCTTAACTATGAGTAGTCGCATTTAAACATAGGAGTCTCTTCTTTTTTGGCAATGTCATGTTTTTAGTGTCCTAAGTACGGATCATTCCTGGCATCAAACATAAAGGAAAACATACAGAACAAGTGATGATCTGTCTGTTTGCTTCGCTAATTTGGTCTTGCATCTGTATCTTTTTCATCCATTTTATTTTTGCTGCACCTTCTCTCAGTATCGAATGGAGAGGAAAAGAGAAAAGACCCTTCCCAAATGGATTTTGAATCTTCTCAGGAGAAGCAACTTGTTCTAATCCAGAATTTATTTTCTTATTTCTTTGCGCTTGGAGAAATCACTGTCTTTAAAGCTGTGTCCTGCTTCAAGCACCTCTTTTTACAGATACTTAGATCTACTGTACAGTGAATATGTACCCCATGCTTCTCTTTCAGGTTACATCATAAATTGCCTAATTTAAAAATACTCCTACAGACATGGAAAAAGGAATAATGAGGCTTTTTACAGGAATTTTTTAAAATCCCTGAAATATGCGTGTGTCATTTGCCACCCACAGCTCTTTCAGTATTTTCAAACTAAGCGTGTAATTAATAAACAACCATTTATTCAATAATTAAATCAGATATTTTCTTATAAGGTGTTTCTTAACCTTTTTTTTAAACATTAAGAAACTAGTTTGATTTTTGTATGAAAGTATCAAATCAGCAGTATTGCAGTGTTATTGTGGCTGTGTTGGTCCTTGATTATGAGAGAGAAGGTGGGCGAGGTAATATCTTTTATTGGACCAACTTCTCTTGGTGAAAGAGACAAGCTTTTGAGCACCACAAAGCTCTGTGGAGCTCGAAAGCTTGTCTTTTTTACCCACTGAAGCTGATCCAGTAGAAGATATTACCTTTCCCACCTTGTCTCTCTCAAATCAGGTGTAAGCAGTTTTAAACGCTGCATGGAAAAGAATTCATCTTTGTTCTTGAACACAGAAATTCTAGCAGTTCCATTTTCTTTAATCTTTTAGAGTATTTTCTTAATGTGTGGGACGTTACACTGAGTAAATAAAAAATAATTATACATATTTAACACTGTTCGTAGCCAAAACATTAATAGCTATTTAACTGAAGTCTTATCTACCCTTGATCAGAGACTGAATGAAGGACTCTTAAGAAGTATAGCCTCAGTAAAAAACCACCTACAGATTCAGAGGAAAAGTACAGTAGAAGTATTTCTTTCAACACAGTATCCCATCATATAATTAAAACTGGTTAAATGATATTCCTGTTTTATTTTTTTAAGACTGATGTGCTGAAAAGGGCGGGGGTGGGGAAGCTAGCAAATACTTTAATTTGAACTTTTTCCTTTGAGGTTCATATTTGGCTTTGCTTATTTATAGATACTTTATCAAGTTTACAAGGGGAAAAAAGATGTACTCTGAATTAGTATTTTAGTGCTTATTGGCTAATTTCCAATATGCTTTTTTCATTTTTCTTTTTGTATTATGTCAACAAACTAACAAAATAATAGAATATTAGGTATAACAAATATATAGTCTGCCTTTTTTGTGCATTATATATCTCATGTCAATTGGTTGTTGATTGTGTTGATCCATTCAATCAGAGGGCCCCAATCCTTTAATGGGGTCTTCTCGTGTAGCGCCCCATGCCTGTGCTGTGTCCCATGACTTTATTAAGGGGATTAATTTGGACTTCAGTGGGACTGCACATAATTGAGAAGTCCTCATTAATAGATCCAGTTGCAAGGTTTTCACATGAGACTATGGCCCAGTGATAATGAATCACAGATTATATTATTTTTCTCTATTCAAGAGAGAGGAATTTTAAAATCTATTTCAATTGATAGTATATTTACTGTAAAGGATTATTACATTATTTTTTCTGCTGACATATTTATATATTCCATTACAAAAAATATGTTAAGAGAAGATTAAAGTTACAAAGCAAGCACTCAATAGTTAAGAAATACCAAAATTAAGGTTACCTATGAAAATCTAGTGTCAGTTAAAAATCCAAAATGGCATGGCTTCGACAGTATGGCATGTCTAGGTGGTATTACTAATTCCTACCACTTGTGACTAGTGGGTTCCTTGCACTTTTTGGCTTGAATCAGTGTGGTGGTGGTAATGGTTTTTTAAAAATATATGAAATACATGGTCGTGATGATGTAATTTTTATACTGTATTGCTGCCATATATGTACTGAGTTGCCAAACCAGCAGATCAGAGGGACTTTCCCCTTTCTCTGTATTTGCCAACTCCTATCAGAGAAATTGGCCCTTAAGAGCGTGTATACTATAAAATAACCCACCAACAGCACATGTGCTTTAAGAATGATAGAGATTTTTAGATGAGTCATTCTGTTTCACATCATTATCCCTCAGTACCTAAACATGGGGTATAGAATAGACATGCAGGAATAGGAATGTATTTATGAATGTATGAGAGATGGCATAGCTGCTATGTTTAAGTAATCTTACCTTTGATTGGCTGAATACAAAAGGGATGACTTGATTTATGTTTGTAGTGTTGTTGCTGTGTTGTTCCGGGACAGGAAAGACAAGGTAGATGAGGTAATACATTTTATTGGATCAATTTCTGTTTTAACAAAGCTTGGTCCAATAAAAGATATTACCTCACCAACCTTGTGCCTCGTGATTTATTTAATTATGGAGGGAAAAACTACTTGCCATCATTATTGCTCAGAAAACTTTGTATATTATCCTAGAATACTACAGTAGTGGGAAAGTAGTGAGAAAATGTTATTTTTTGTAATGTATCGGCTATCTGTAAGTATACACAAATCAGATACCCCATCGTCGTTATATGGGAGAAATGATATTTTAATAAAATCACATTTCGATTTTTTTTAATAATTATTCACATTAAAAAGAAAAATGGTTGTTCTATTTTTGGCCAACCCCATCATTTTTATCTTTCTTCTGATTGATTAGCATTGTTGAAGACAAATGAACAATACTCAATGGAAGCATGCAGTCACACTTTTTCCCATATATTTTCCGATTTCCTAGTATGAACTGAGTGTTTTGGGTAGCAGTAAGCTCTCTGTGGTGAGGAGAACACCTGGAACTATTAAACTAATCTCCCAGCTTTATGTCCCATTTGAATTCCCATTAAAGTCAGTGGAAAGACTCCCATTGATTTAGTGGGAGTTGGATCAGTCCTTAACCAATTTGCTAGTGAATATTTTTTGCCAAAAGTAGTGGATTTTCCTGTAGTCTTTGGATGGTAAGTTAAAACGAATCTGAATATGTCCTAATATAAATAACTACTAGGCAGTACAGAACTGTAATCTCTCACAACATTCTTATTTTGGCAGGATCTTTCAGGCATTTATTTAAAATTATGCATTATTCATAGAGTTTTTCACTTTTTGTCTGCTTTGTGTCAAATTGCAGATACTGGTTTGGGAGATTCTGTGTGTTCAAGTCCAAGTATATCCAGTACCACAAGTCCCAAACTGGATCCTCCTCCCTCCCCTCATGCCAACAGAAAGAAACATCGTAGGAAGAAAAGCACTAGCAATTTTAAAGCTGACGGTATCTCAGGCACTGCTGAAGGTAAGCTTTCTATGCTCTCGGGAGGTCCAGATTCCCAGTGTTCTTTCATTGTCCTGAAAGCCTCCAAGTGTTGTCTTGGATCTCTGTTGTTGGATACTATTTTAACTTGATTGCTAGATTTGTATCTTTAAAGGTGAACAGAAACACATGTAAAGAGAAATCCAGCAATCCAACCTTTTCATGAAAAGCTGTATGGTAAAAGAGACATCATAATAGACAAATTTCTGTGATCTTAAAATCTTGTTTCATCAAATGGTGTTTGCTTTTAGAAATGTACCCAACCTGTTCCTTAGTCATGTGCATGTGTGTCTGTCATCATGGGAAGCACAGATGAGATTTGGGCCTTTTTATAAGACAAAAGTAAGTTAACATATATTCAGTAGCAAGTGCATCATATTAAAATGTATACATCTCCAATAAGCACAGCTTAAATCCTATATTATCTTTGTTCATTAAGCACACTCCATGTTCCAGAGCCAGTCGTCAATGCTTTTGATGCCTGCTGTTGTTTGTTTGACTATTCAGCTGCTCGTGGAAAGATTGCATTATTAAGAGCAATAAAGGAAAGGGGAGAGTTAAATGTTTGGGTTCATTTTTAAGAACTAGACAGCAAAAGCCAAAAGAGCTATTTTATTCCCTTACTTTATCTTAATATTTTCAATGCTATCAGTGCTAGTAGTTCAATATCCTGCTGAAGAGATAGCAACATATACACAGTAGCTAGATATGATATAAAAACTTACTTATATCTGTAGAAAAGAAGAATAGAAACATGCTACAATTCAACTGAATGAGCTCCAGAAAAAAAAAATGAACAAGGGTAGTGGGAAGCATAGAAATGGGAGAGTCGAAAGCGAGAGAGTGGAATAACAATGTGGAAGAAGAGGAGTGTTAAGAAAAGCATTGGAGGGTAAAACTAGCTAATTCAATATTGAAGAACAAAGGGGCAAGTTCTGGAAATGGGATGACAATTGCAGGCATCTGAGGAGACGTTAAAATAGAGATGGGATAATAGTATACAACTGTGAAGGGACATAATAAATACTACTTAGGCTAGGTCTACACTACCTGGAGGGGGGGGGTCGACCTAAGATACGCAACTTCAGCTACGTGAATAGCGTAGCTGAAGTTGCGTATTTTAGGTCGACTTACCTGGCTGTGAGGACGGCGGCGAGTCGACCGCTGCCACGCCGCCGTCGACTCCTCTTCCGCCTCTTGCCGCAGTGGATTTCCGGAGTCGACGGCAGAGCCATCGGGGATCGATTTTATCGCGTCTTCACTAGATGCGATAAGTCGATCCCCAATAGATCGATTGCTACCCGCCGATCCGGCGGGTAGTGAAGACGTGCCCTTAGTCATCCTTATTTTCCATTTACTTTAATTTCTCAGTTGTGGTGCTATCACCTCTGGATTATGTTTTATTTCCATAGCTGCGTGTGTGAATTCTTTGTTGAAAACCTTGGCTTTGTCCATAATAGCCCCTGCTGCTTTCTCTCCATGTTATGTGTCATCTTTACCATTGGACTCCCCCTAGTTTGACCATGGAAAGCCAAATTTTATTTTAGACTTTCATTTTTTATTTGAGTTCTTTTTCTACTCCACTTTACACATTTGCATTTATTTGCACACCAGGAATGGAATTTTTCAAAAGTGCTCAAAGTCAGCTCCCATTGAGGTTAATAGGGGTTTTACCATTGCCTTCAATGGGAATTGAGATTAGCCAGCACCAAAGGCATTTGAAAATCTCACTTTTAATTTCTCAAGGGAAGGACAAAAGGTTAAATATTATCTCCACAGATTCCCCAGAGTTCCGAGAACCACATGAGCCATATGTGTTGGTGAGAAGATCAGTGTTTGTAAAGGAGTAAATGACTCCTTCATCCTCATTCCCTGTCCTCTTCATATCCACACAGCTCAGGACTTCTGGTCTCTCAACAAACGTGGTTGTTTTTTTTCACATCAGTTCCAAAATTTGAGTATTTTTTTTCTTTTCTGTTCTTGTTTTTCAAATCTTAGTCATAATTGTTTTCTTAGGAGACTGTGGAGCTTGGGTTTAGCTCGGTTTGTTGTTGTTGGCTCATTATGGCTGAAGGTAAGTCTGGCCTGGGAACATGTTTCACTCATACACAAAAGGAGTGTTTGATTAACTCTCAGGCTTACGGGGTTCAAGAGAAGTACCTCCAAATTTCCCATGGAAGAGACCTTAACTTCCTAGCCTGCAACCTTTTTGAGGGCAGTTACAAGTCTTGCCTCCTCCTGTCCGAAGGCCTTAAAGCACATTTGAAAGGACAAGAAGTGATTGTCAAGCATTAGAAGATGCTACAGTATCTTTGACAGCTGCCCATAAAAGTAGCACCGAGCACAGACAGCCACTTTTACATGCCTCTCCCCTGAAGTATCAATGCATTTTGTCTGTTCCTGCCACTTCTGTGTAAGGTCTCTGGTCTAGCTTCCAAGTGGGCATTCTCTTATGCTTTTGGCACTTTCAGCTACCTAGGATGTGACACCATCTAGCCATTTTAAGAACAAAAGCATAAACTTGTTCCTCAACATCAACTAGAAAGTGGGTCAGCTCCCTGTAGAATCCTCCTCATGAGTCAGAAAGTAACCCTCAGTACCCTTCTTCCAAACACCTACCCTCGTGGCACACTCTGGGCCTTTAGCATGTTGCAGGGCAAACCAGTCTACATCTAAAATTAAGATAATCTGTGGTATTTTTTTGCTCCGCCTCTACGCCAAAGTCAGAAGTAGATGAAAAGGGAGGAGGTGTAGTCCACTTGAACTATTTACTTGTAAAGGGTGTTTAGATTGTGCTGCAGCATCTGGGGTGTCTACCTATTTGTACTCATTCATAGTGGCAGATTATCTTTATTGTCAGATATCCAGATTATGAGTTGATCTGAGCCCGGGTTCATGGCTTGATATCATTCGTGGTTGACCAGACTTGTTTTCTGTCTTCCTCCCTGAGGCTTCAGTTCACCAGGATGAAGCTGATTCTTCATTTTACTTATCTTTGTAGAAGTGTCTTGTGGGACAACTTTGTAGATTTGGAACAACCTATTTAATTACTCAGTCACCAATAGTGGTCACAATTTGATTGTGCCTCAGGGTCAGCAGGTGCATCATGCACATTTCTGCTAGATTCCGGATGTGCCCTCTTCAGGCCTGACTTACTACTCAATATCTTCCCAGATTCAATAGCCTCAACAAAGGTCTGATTTTCCCAGTATTTGTGTAGAAATTTCTCCTATCCAATGCCCTAAAGGAGGGGAGAGGGTCTCCTTTTGCTTAGCCTTCTCCCACCTTCATAATAGGGATGGATTTAAAACCTCCGATAGGAGAACTCACCCAGGATACTTGGACTTGTTGCCTGTAAAATTCAATGAAGTCCAACATGCATCTGATGAAGTGAGTATTCACCCATGAAAGCTTATGCTCCAAAACGTTTGTTAGTCTATAAGGTGCCACAGGACTCTTTGTCGCTAATGAAGTCCAAGTTATACAAGAAGGTGTTAGAAATTGCCTACTCCTGGGATGAAATTGCTGCTTGTTTAATATCATCAACAGTGGGGATATATGAAGGTAAATACAGTAACTCCTCACTTAAAGTTGTCCCAGTTAACATTGTTTTATTATTACGTTGCTGATCAATTAGAGAACATGCTTCCTTATAACGTTGTTTGGCAGCCGCTTGCTTTGTCCACCGCTTGCCGAAAGAGCAGCCTGTTGCAGCTGGCTGGTGGGGGCTTGGAACCAGGGTGGATTGGCAGCCCTCCTATCAGCTCCCCACTCCCCTAAATTCCCTGTTCGGCAGCTGCCCAGCAGACTATCAATTGCTGGCAGTTCAGCTGTCCCTCCCCCCACTACCATGTGTTGCTCCTGCCCTCTGCCTCGGAGCTGCTCCCTGGAGCCTCCTGCTTGCTCTGCGGGGGCGGGGGTGGGGAAGAGGGGTGCTAATGTCAAGGTGTCCCCCTCCCCCCTGCTCCTGTCCCCCACTTACCCCATCTCCATAGAGCAGGGCGGGGACACGACAGGGCTCAGGACAGAGGGAGCTTGCTAGCAGCAGCTGCTGTCTCAACTTGCTGATCTACTTAAAAAGGCAATGTACTTAGAGTGGGGTCAGTGTACTTAAAGGTGCAATGCGCATCTCTCTCTCATACACACGGTGTGTGTCTCTGTCTGCCATGCCGTCTCCCCTCCCTCCATTCGTGCTGCCTTGTAGACATTAACAACAATGAGTTAACTCTTGAGGGCACAGCCAATTGCTAGTTCATCATTTAGCAGTAAGGCATTCCCTGGGAAATATCCTTCCCTCTGACTTCACCACCTCAACCAAGCTTCACAATCATCATCGCTGTGTACCAGTATTAAATTGTTTGTTTAAAACTTATACTCTGTGTGTGTGTGTGTGTGTGTGTGTGTGTGTGTGTGTGTCTTTTGTCTGGTGAAAAACATTTCCCTGGAACCTAATGCCCCCCCCCCCCCCCCCCGTTTACATTAATTCTTATGGAGAAATTGGATTCGCCTAACATTGTTTCGCTTAAAGTCGCATTTTTCAGGAACATAACTACAACATTAAGCGAGGAGTTACTGTATTGGGGTGGGGGGATTGGTGGTTAGTACTTCAATTTCAGTATATTTCCTCCACAAATTCACCCTTACCGTTCTTTCTTCCCCACTTCTTCAGAACTTCGGTTTCCTATGCAGAGAGGGAGGACCTTTATATGCTTCCCTTCAGAGTCTTTATTTTGACACATAGATGCACTGTGACATGAATCCCCCTCCAAGAGCTAACTAATTTCAATGGTCCTAATGTCTGTGCAGCCCAGCTCATGGGCTCCAGATGCATGGCTGTGCGAGGCAATATATTTAGGGCTGGTCTACACTGCCGCGCTAGTTCGGCGGCTGGGGATCGAAGTTCCGAGTTCGATTTATCGCGTCTGGTCTGGACGCGATAAATCGAACCAGGAAGTGATCCCCGTCGACTGCGGTACTCGAGC